CAGAAAGTTAAGTTTTTCTGGGAGAATATTTGCAAAAGGCACTTTGACCGACTCTTAAAACGGTCGCTAAAAAACCACACCGATAGCAAGACACTCTCCGGTGTTGCCTGCAAACTAACAAAATGCTCCGTAACGTCACACACTAGATGACGTCAGGACGAACACCATTGCTCTATATACAAGTATAGATGGGCAGGCAGACATTACAGGTCGCTAACACCACGCACGTGACGAGATTATAAACCTCTCGAGGCGCGCCTCGCTTCGCTCGGAAAAACTTTTACAAGTGTAGCTATTTTTTTAGTGTCCGAAAACGAGAGCTTCACTTGTACAGTACAGCTGGTACCATTGTAAGAGTTTTATTAAATTGACCTCTGGTCTAGTAATCGATCGGTATGTGTCGGTTTTCTGTAAATTGCCGTTCGTAGTCTGTTGTTGTCGCGGGTGACCAAGCGTGTGACCATTTTCTTCGATCTCTTTGGTAAACTATATGCCCGCGCTCTGTCTGTTAAGGTGTTCGTGAAAATTGTCGATTTCGTCTTTGAGTACAGGGGTAAAAGTGTACACGTCGAACACATCTAATGCCGGTCATTGGCTTTATTGATGTTATTATATTCACAGAAAAAAGAAACCAGCTCACATATACCACTGTTGCGTTGTATCTAACCTTTCCTTACATATTTCCATGTTTATAACTGGTAAAAAGCAAAATCTTTTTGCATGTGAAAAGCCTTCTCTGGTAAACATGTTTGTGGCAGATCATAGGAAGCTCTGTATTGGTATCCCGCCTTTGGCAAAAGGACCGAAAGGACGTTCATGTCCTCTTGCTGTATGTGGAAAAACTAAGCGACCAAAAAAACACAGGACTAAAACACAGTTTAAATCCAGTTATACCCAATACCACAAAATCCTTGTTATCGATTCCTGACGGGATTTGATCATCTGGAATGTGCTCCAGATCTTTCGACTTTATTAGCTTCTTTTCAAAATTAGATGAACCGCTTTTTTATGCTTTTTTGGTCTGGTTTTGAGGTAGCAATGGGAGGTAAACTTGACTGGTAAACTTGTATTTTCTCTTTAAAAACTGAACTGCGCTTCCTTGCCAAACATGATTGCCTGAGATTTGCACGTCATTTAAACTACAAGCATAAAAATTATCAAATTATTAAATTGTATACAACACTACAAGATTAAATTAAGCAATTCTTCTTATATAAATGACGTTACTTGACCGAACCATTTTTTTTTGTTTTTCATGCTTGCCTCTAGAAAAAATTCTACCAGAAAGAACTAAACGACTTTGTTACAGGTTCTAGAGCAACAAGCTTAAGCTACTTATACTGAGCGATAAAATGGACATGAATATAAATATAATTACCGTAAAATTCCGGAAATAAGCCCCTCCATGTATAAGCCCCTCCAAATATGAGCCCCTCAAACCGGTAACGCAAAAAACCCTCCGTTAAATCGCCCCTCCAAATATAAACCCCCCGGGGGCTTGTACTTGGAAAATTGCCCTCAAACATACAGTAAAACAAAGCAAAAATGGTAGATTTATTCCCAGCTATAAGGCTATCCGTAGATAAGCCCTCCAAAAATAAGCCCCTCAAAAACGGCCTTTCAAAAATATAAGCCCCGGAGCTTATTTTCGGAATTTCACGAAATGTTAAAAGTTGTCAAGCATATGGTTTCGACCAACCTAAGAAAATCGTGCTACAGATAAATTTTTATATTAAGTAAGCAATTTTACTTTCCTTGTGCAAATCTTTCCCAGGAAGTAATACTGAATTATTTGGCGGGAAAAAGCACAAGAATAGTAGCATTTGCTTCGCCCGTCTTATGAACTAAACTGTGTTTCCTTGCAAACACGATTGTTTGGAAGTTCTTCGTCATTAAAAACGTCCACAATCACAAATTTAACTACAGCACTCAAGGCTACAATCCTACAACTTGACGGGTGTTTATGATTGGTATGTATAATGAAACAACTGATAGTTTCTGATTATAAATACGTCTTTTGACGTATTTCAGTCTTTCCTTTCTCTTCCTCCGAGTGTTCGTTTCTGTTTTACTTTTTGAAAAGGCTTAGAAATAAGAATAAAAATAGAAGAGCGGTTGGATCGATTTCTACTCCATCTGAGAGATTCCAGAAAATTATGATGAAATATCACACTTGGTTTGAGACCGACAGCCATTATTGTCATTGCAGCATTGTGCCGGCGAACCTAAAGTTATTTGTCCTCTCAAATTAATAAGTGTTTAAGGTGTTTCGAGTGCTGGACATGTTTTATAGAACAAGACTCAACGAGTTTGTAAGTCTCAAATCTTATGTATCTCTGTTACACTTATCCCGCCACTAAGCTTAAAACCACCTGATTTATTTTCAACTGATCAAAAACTATTAGTACAGCCTAACCTGTATGTGCGACCTCAAGAGAGGATAAAGCTCGGAGAATTAATCCCCCATATAGGCCCTTAATACCCATCGTAATCCCTCAAAAGATATTTTTAGATCTTCTCGGAGATCTGTTGTTCCCAAGAGGGTTGTGTGATAACCAATCATATGTCCTTAATTTTACCAACGTTTACAGGTGGGCGAAGTCTCACGCAATGCTTCGCAACGTTCGAAGGCGTAGGCAGCGGAAGACGTAGTTTAGGTTAAAAAACTGCAGTCGTAGGAAAACGAGTCGCATGTATACGTTTTGTGGACGAATGAAACTTCAAGGAGAAAAAGTACAGTCGGCATAGAATGTAAGGCTTCAAATAATTAATAACGAAAGAACTACAGTAACTGGACATCGTGCTCCAGTCTTAGGACTCACTTGTATCAAGAAAAACAAAATGGATGGTATCAGCGCCTGAAGAATGTTCTTGGTGTAGCTTCGGTTTAGACAACAATTCGGATCTGAACATAATTTACCGTGAGAATTCAACATTCTGCAAACAGTAAGAGCGTCCAGCGTCTAGCGTCAGAACATAGCCGGAAATCATCATCACCTTTACGCGGACCAAAAGTTACACCCGGCGCATGTGGCTATTCAGATACATGTACTATGGAGAAACCAAAGAAACTCTTTACTAAAAGGTTATTTGGCTGCAAGAACAAGCTTAAGACTTTAAAGAGGTCAAAGAAAATTAGTGCTTAACAACTGCATCTAAGATCAAATTAATCACGTGTAAAACACACCGCGAACCACAAAGTAATTACTTAATGCCCCACGACCTCTCAATGTAGAGGGTGTAATTTGCCTTTTGCAGATTAGGTTTGCAGGTTAGAATTTGAAAAAAAAAGTTAAATGTCCTGAATGGGCCCCTAAAACAGGACATTCTGCCAGTGATGAACTTACAACAGGTCACACTACTCGTTCTACCTGACTTAAGTGCAGCCTTTGACACTGTTAATTATAAAGTATTATAGAAATGACTACATACTGATGTCGGTACACGGGGAAAGGCTCTTGACTGGTTTAAGTCTTACTTAAGGAGACGCATCAGAGCGGCCAAATTAAGATTTGCTCGGTAAAAAATTAAAATACTCCATTCACTGCATAACCTACGTGCTTAAGAGAACCAAAAAAAAGAACACCGTTGTTGTTTTGAAGCATACTCTAAGGCGGTCTCGTTTCACACTCCCGAGCTTATGGGTCGTGTTTAGCCTGTCAACACTTTATTTCAAACTTCATTTCCTTTGTGAATCTTCTGACAATTTTCTACCTCTCGATGCCAATACCGATTGATACATGCTCAAATAATTTTTTTAAAAAAAAACCTCTTAAGAACGATTCTCATTTCGCATTAAGAGTGGATGAACAGTCTTTATCATCTCTTGTATGGCATTCTTCGCAACTCCCGCACTCCCGACACGCTTTTGCACTTTCACTCCTCCACAAAGCTTCCACACGCAACGCGAGAGGAAATATTATCCGCGGGACAACTGATACGTTCTAAAAATAACTTTAGAGGGATTACGATGGGTAGAGGGCCTATATGGTAATTAACTGAGCTTTATTCTGTCGTGGCGACTACTTAACCAAAACACCAAAATTTTCCCATCCAAATCCTTTGAGTTGGATTCTTTCGTAAGCGACCGCAATCACTTTTTAGAATTAACCTTTTTAAGCGGCTTCTACCTGATACAATGGTCTTATCTTTGTATTCCCTGTATGCTCTACGTTACCCAGAATATGAGAAGAACTTTTAGAAAAAAAAAACATGGATTTACATATACTGTAACCTGAAATTACATGCAATAAATTCTGTCAAAAAAATTAGATGTATCCGAACTTCTCAGTCCTCTTAAGAAAGGACTCTGCAATTCGACTCTCATAACTGACCACATTCTATAAGCGACCACTAATTCTTCGCATATTTGGGGGTCACTTACGGGAGGTTCGATTGTATAGGTTAAATTAGAGTTAGTTAAAGCCCCTTGTCATTGTCAATAAATTAATACTATTAGCCATCTCGTACATGTACTTATAGTAATGTGACTTTCCTTTATGCTTTATGCTTTGTGCTACTTGCATTCGAAAACTTGGAAAAGTTAATTTGTAACCTAGAACCAATGTTGCTGTTGGAAAGAGGAAACATCGCTACTCATAACATTTATTGGCTCAAAAGGGAGAATGATTTCAAATTCTAATGTCTCCTTTTATAACTTACTTTACCTAATGCTACATAATTTCTTTTTATCCTTCTTCAAGGAGAAAGAAGACTTAGTTGAAGGTAATTTTTAAGCCCTCAGACCCGTTCATATACTTAGGGTCGGTTATTTAAACGGAATGTAACTTAGTCTTCGGTTTAGCAAATATTTGGACCTCCAGACCTCTTCCATAGTGGGCCATTTTAAGACAGTAAGTGCTTTTCCAGTGTACACCTTATGCTTTCATGAAACTTTTCACGATAAATAGTGTTAGGATAAAAGCGGTGGGCAAACTGAAATGGCTGAGAACGCGGTTTTGTTAAACACTAGCTATACTCCGTTAAATAACTGGCCCTAATTAGACTGTGGTTTCATAAATTACCATTGGAGGCTCATGAACACTGACTTCAGCGAGTGTAAGAAGGCCCTGTTCAGTCGTACTTACCTCGTTTTCGGTTTCTTCTTCTTGTTCGAGTTCTGCATTGAGCTCCTCAAGAGCATAAGTTCCCCTTGGAAGCTCATGAACACTTACTTTAGCGAGTGTAAGAAGGCCCTGTTCAATCATACTTATCTCGTTTTCTGTTTCTTCTTCTTGTTCGCATTCCGCATTGAGCTCTTCAAGAGCATAAGTTCCCCTTGGAAGCTCATGAACACTGACTTTAGCGAGTGTAAGAAGGCCCTGTTCAATCATACTTATCTCGTTTTCTGTTTCTTCTTCTTGTTCGCCTTCTGCATTGTGCTCTTCAAGAGTAATATCAACTGCCCCACTCTCCTTTAAAGTGCTAACAATCGATGGAATCTCCATTCTACCAGTTTGTAGTTGCTGATTCAGTATGTTCCTCTCAGCTAATCCACGTATTTCTCCTTGTAGTTGATTAAGGGGCAATAGCAAGGCCAGAAAGCAGGATAATGAGCACTTTGGATTCTTGCGCCATTCTTTTACGTAGTGGTAAATATACGCCAGATACTGCACTGCAACAAATTACAAACTCTTTCACATTACAACGTGGCCTTTATAGGTTCAACAGAGGAAAGACCTGAAGACCTGTTTTCCAACCTATTTTCTGTAAGAATACCGCTTTTCAGTAGTCTTGTAACAAGCCGAAACAACGGTCCAGCGCTCAAGACAGCAAGTGTAGCTTAAAGGCTCGGTAACCACCTTCCTGGTTATCTCAAGAAGCCAAAGAAGGTTGATGTAAAGTCAGGTTTTCTTTTAATTCACTACTTTAGAAAGGAGAAGGGAACTGGAGGAGAAATGTTTTCAGCAATTTTTTCCTGGCACTAGTCAGCTATTGGCCAATTTTTTTTTCTCTGTCCCTGGAAACAGTCCCAGAAGTCTTTGCGAAAGTTAATCCGTCCCAGTTTTCTTCTCGTCTCTAAAGCGATGAGTTCCATGTGTTTTATCCAGATTTTTCTTTCTTAAAATGATTTATGAAATGTTATGAAAAAATTTACGTGGACTCAGGTTTGACCCCACACTAATAATAGTAGATAAATTTTTCAGGATTCATTTTTGTCTTCTGAAATACTTTGTGCTAGTTCGTGGTAAATAATTAAAATGACCCCAGGTGCGCGCTTGAGAGATGACGGTTTCCCTTACATGTTTTCCCTTGATTTAAGCCCCCCCCGCCCCCCCTCCTCCAAGTCCTTTTTTCTTATACTTTCTTTGATTTTCTTTCGGGATATCTCATTTCTACCGCTCATACTTAACTTTGACCATAAGAAGGGTCCGAAAAACCTAAGTCAGTGTTTTCCGTACGTAAAAGTTCTTACTCTTGGTGCATGATAATCTGCCTGTGAACGAGGCAAGAGTTCCAATCTATTTGTCGGTAATAATTTATTCTTAATTTTAAACATGAAAATGGCAATCTCCTGTAACCTCGTATTGAACAAGCTAGTTATCCCCGCACTTGCCAGTAAATCGCAGAACATAGAGGCCTGATCTAAGAAGACCGTTCCGTCGTCTTTGATTTGGTTTTGATTGAAAGTAAAAAAAAAAAAGAACTTTCATTATAACTTCTTACTCATTTAATAACCAAATAACTTTCTTGTTATGGTTCGCTCTATACTGACTCTTGATTAAGAATCGTGAGCACTCATTTAATTATGAAGTAATCTATGTATCTTTCATTGCAAGAACTTTCACCAAGCAAATCATTGTGCCCCAGTTAAGGTATGAACCCGCCAGTAAAATGTAAGAGGATTTGTGACAGACAAATAGAATGCATGTTAGTGTTAACTTACCGACAAGGAGTCCAATAACCAAGGAGTTGGCAACAATGACCAAGATATTGAACATTAGATTATCCACTATTGGGTCGACCGATGTCCCAAAACCCTCACTCGGAATTGTGCTCACGGCTCCTATTGCAAGGTTTACGAACGTAACGGCAAGTGAAGACAGCATAAGCTTGTTTTCGAATGGATCATTTATTGGCCTTTTTAGCGCGAAATATATCCCATAGAATCCGGACGAAAGTAATGCTAGCCCAATGTAACCTCTGTTCTCGCTATCCAAAAGGATCAATCCAGATGTCAAAATAACCTTTCGACATGTCTCTACCAGTTCCCAATACCAACAACGAGAGGTGTAGCTTTCGTGTAAGAATCGCAATCCCGTTTCCATGGTGCCTTGGCCTTTAAAATCATTTGTGTCGTCTGTTGTTTCGTCCTCAGCTTCCCTCGCCGCTCTCTGTCGTTTCCAAATTGCTATAAAAGCGGCAGCAGGCAGAAAAATCACATACACAATGGAACAGTATCCCACGATGACTAATCGTTTGTACCTCTCTCCTTTGCAGTCAATGCTGTAGTCGGCCTTTAGGTACTCAACGCAGCTTTCATCTTTTTGGTCAACGCAGATTTTATGGCAGGTAAGAGGCAAGACTTGAACAGTTTTTAGGCAAGTGTTCAGATAGGTCACGTAAAGAAAGAAAAACAGACTTCTCTTTACGACCCCTTTAATACGTTCTTTTTTCTTCGTTTTTTCCTCTTCATTCAACATATGTCGTGTCGATGTCCAGAAGGCAAGGGCAAGGCCAGTAAGGGCGATGATGACTGCTGCAATGTTCAACCCCATAGTTGCAAGCAAACTTCCCAATGCGTCGACTCCCAAGCCAGGAAGGATGCAGTGGGGGGGAGCTATCTGAAGGATGTTTATCTGCATTACCTGGGAAAACTGTCCAATAACATTAAGACTTTCAGGCCATTTTATGTATGAAAACGCCTCCATGATACCAAACGTCACCTGATAAAAGCCAATAATAACTTTAATCCTTCCGAGGACCTCGTCAAGGAAAGATCGTCCAGCGTCCTTTTTGCACTTTTTCTTGCTTCTCCACACCACAAGTATAACCAGTATCATAACTAATGCCCCAATAATTGCACACTGTCCGATCATCCATTTTTTTGTTGGGCACAGCTTACATTTCGTCAGTTGTTTATAATATCCATCACTACAAACTGCACATAATGGTCCTTTATAACCAGCCTCACATGAAGAATTCAAACCTCCCTTACAAACATCTGCCATGAGACATCTGTGCGGTTGAGGAAGTGTGTACGGGTATCCAATGCCGGAGTCATTTCCTTTGTGTAATTCAGGAGTAAAGGAGAAATTCTTTACGTTTTTACTGAAGTTTCTGTACAGTTCTAAGTGTGTCTTATCTTTCCAGTGCCACCAATAGCCAACTGAAAGATTCGCAAACTCATCCTGACATTTTAGTCCGAATGTTCCGCATGGTGAGCAAACCCCAAACAAATTCAATCGGTAGGAATTATTTAAACATTTACAGGCACGAAATCCTGCAAATGAACCTCTATCAGTACCTGTCAAACAAAAGAAATCGAAACAATTGTTACGAAAAAGTTTTAAACTAACCTGTAATCTGTTGGAGATGCTTGCATAAATTTTTGAAATCAGGTTAAATATCTTTTCCGCTAACCATTTTTTTCCCTTTGTTGCTGCGTTTTCTCTTTTAAAACAACGCATGCCTAGAAAAGGCCTCAGTCACAGTCATTCAGGCTACCCATTTACCAACAGTTCAAAGTTAAGTACATAAGTGACAAGAATAAGTCACATATAGGTAACGGAGGTATGATCACGTTTTGATACAAAACCGCGCTCGACCTGTACTCAAGAAAATTAAGGCATGGGTCTTCTATTTAATTCCTCAAAAACAGGGGGTGGTCTAAATTCTTAAGCTTTCAAATATACCACAAAATAACTTAAGGACAGACTTCCTGGGTATAAGTTTAACAACTTTGAATGATGATTGGAGTCACTGATTGTCACGTGGCCTATTAAGGCTATTTTTAGCACAAAAATCTATTTGGCAATATGGCACCACTTTTAATTACTTTCTGGAAGTTGCAGTTATCATCATAGTTATGAGTGTAGTGGGTACATCATGTCTGTGTCCGAGCCTTTTAAGTTAATCTTTTAGACAGGAACGAAATTCGAAAATCGTTTGATAAGAGGACAGGGTACTAGCAACAAAATTCCGTTTATTTACACTTTTAATGAATTATTCAACAAAGCCCGGGCACAGATGTCTATTCGTTCATCTAGGGACATGTTTGGTTGCAATTTCTTTGATTGGCTGCTGTTATAAAATAGTGCTATTTCTAATTTTAGTTTTTTTGCGCAAAATATTCTTCTACTCGGAATCGCATAAACTTTTGAGATTCATTATTTTACTCAAGTTTTGTCGCTATAGGCCTAAATCCTCAAAATATAGACCACCCCTCGACTTCTTGAGGGAAATTGAAAAAACACCCATGCCTTAATTTCCTTGAGAAGTCAAGCATATCATTCTGATTACAGCGTAACTGAGCTAATAAACTTTATACTGCGTATCATTTCCACCCCTTCTAAGCCGCAAAAGTTGATCTAGATCCTGCGAACGTAGAAGCTGAGGACTTGTAGACTTTGTTTATAACTTTGATTGTAACACTCTACGGAGTTAATTCACTACTTACCCTCGTAAGTGTTAGCTCTATTTTAGATAGCATCTGTACGTTTCAATGAGACAACGGATTTTCATCCAACGTCATTTTCTGATCAACTTTCTACTACACATTTTTGAAATTATCTATATAACGACACTCCTTTCAGCCTGAGTGATTATTTTCCATTCTCATCAATAACCGAGTGATTTTCACACTTCGAAATTATACATGCTAGTCCTGTCGGTGAAGTAATTCGCAAAACATCACTCCCAACAGACAGAGAGTTTTTTTATTGCTCACAACGAACCGAGTGATTTTCCGCTTCTAATTTTGGGACAAATTAGCCTTTTAGGCAAAAGTTTCGGGAAATCTTATACATTGGATCGCTAGCTCATGATCTTAACGCTGAAA